CTGCTACATCTCGGAGCACCTGTTGTGCCAAATGAAGTTATCAGCTTAACGGTGGCTCGAATGTGAGATTCCATGCAGGTGGTCAAAGACGATTCGGCGGTATTGCTTAGGGACAAAAGGCCGGGGCTTGCCAGTAGAAATATCACAGTAAATTTTGGAGTCTGAGTTAAGAATTGGCAACTGTGATATTTTGATCGACGGATTTGATCTCAGTTGCACAAACTCAGGATTCCCTTCCTGATGAGCTGCTATGTCTTCTAAGTTAATCGTCTGCCGCGAAACTTCATGAAGACATACGCCACATGGCATCGGCGACAAAGTTATTGGCAGCATCAACATGGCGAATGTCGGTCGAAAACTGTGATATAATCCAAATGACGAATTTCTCTGGAGGAGAAACGGTCGGATGAACCACGGAAAGCAAAGGCAAGTGGTTTATAGTCTGTAAGAATGGTAAACGTGCGACCTTCAAACAGGTGCCGAAAAGTGTTTGATAGCGAGGTAGATAGCTAAAAGTTCTCAACCAAAGGTGCTGTATCGCGTCTGTGTTGGCTGAAGTTTGCGAGAGAAAAAGGATAGCGGCTCAGGTTGACCGTTGATTACCTGCTGGAGAACAGCCCCAACGACGGTCTGAGATGCGTCAGTATTGAGGATGAGAGTGGTGTCAACATCAATCTTCAAACGACTAAGCGCGGTAGCGTTGGACAACGCATGCTTCATCTTGTCGAATATATCAATAGCTTCTTGAGTGGACTCGAATTTTCGTGACCTGCCTTTAAGTAAATCGGTCAATGGCTGGAGTAGCCCGGAGCAATCTGGTATGAAACGACTGTAGTAATTCACCATGCCAAGAAAACGACAGAGACTTTTGAAGGATTGCGGCATGGGGTAATCTGCAATCGCTTGTGTTTTCTCGAGGAGTGGACTAATGCCGTTACAGTCAATTCGGTGGCCCAAAAATCAACAGAACTTTGGCTAAAATCATTTGTCAACATTGATCATAACGCCGTACTGAGCAAAGCGTTCGAAGATCGATCAAAGATGTGACAGATGCTCACCATCATTTGAACTGGCCACAAGAATATCGTTAATGTAGGTGTAGACGAAGTCGAGCCCACTAAGCACTTGGTCGATAAACCTTTGGAAAGTCTGTGCGGCATTTCGTAGACCAAATGACATACAAACGAATTCATAAAGACCAAATGGTGTGGTTATGGCGGTCCTCGGAATATAGTCGGAAGCAACCGGAATTTGGTAGTATGCACGCACCAAGACAATTTTAGAGAAAGTCGTTCTTCCATGTAAACCAGTTGAAAAAGCATGGATGTGCGGAATCGTATATCTATCGCGGACGATGGAATTGTTTAGTGCCCGGTAATCTCACCAAGGTCTCCAGTCGCCACTGGACTTTTTGGGAACCATATGAAACGAGGAGGACCATGGGCTATTGGAAGTACGAACGATACCGAGACGAAGCGTATGTTGGAACTGGTTTGGCAGTAGCAAGCTTGTTTGGAGATAATCGTCGAGGTCGGGCGGTTACTGGCGGTCCATGTGTTTAGATGTGTTGCGTAATTTTGTGCTTAGGCTCAGGAAAGTCATTAAACGATTGCTAAAGAGCAGGAAATTGCAGCAATAGTTTGGTGAACACAGTGTCGGTGGGCAATGCCAAGCGGCGATCGATCGAAGTGACTACCCGGAACAGATAGGGATGTCAAACTGTCGCATAGTTTGTTAGAACCCAAGGGGCAGGCGGTAATTGTCTATTGCTAAAGTGGCTTACACTAGGTGTGTTCCATCATACCTGGGAGGCGTCCGCTCATCTGCGTGATCTCCATGGAGTGTTTCCCAACTGGTACTTGCCTCTGTGTTCACTCCTCGTGCGGATGGAACTGTAATCCTGATGTCATCTTCAACTTTGGGGAAGTCGGCAGGGCTCGCTGTTGGTGTGTCATCTTGCACCACCACACTACTTATACCCGGCGCAGTAGTATCTACCTTTAATCCACCACAAGTTTACGGTTATGCAAGTCCACAATCAGGCCGAACTTGTTGAGAAAATCAGCATCAAGGATGGGCGTTGGACGTCAGCGATGAGAGAAACAAAGGAAAAGCTTCAACGAAGACCAACGTTGGGAGTCAGCATTTTCTGATTTGATATTGTTTGCCGCCTGCAAAGCCAGCCCGGTTGGAAGTAGATTGTGTTTTTTTGCAGCACGAGAAATAAGGCTGACCTCGGCACCGGAGTCAACCAAGAGGTACGCATTAGATGAGGAATCGTAGACGTAAAGTAGAGGACTGTATGCTTGGCCAGACGCAGCTGTTGCCATCCCTGACTGGCGTGGATGTTTTTCTGTTGCGGTGTGTAGAAAACGTTCGGGTGTTTACAACCAAGTCGACAATTCCTTGCATTATCGCCAAAACGATGATGGTACCAACAGAAATGACGTGTCCAACTCCTGGCGGGACTACGACTACTTCGAGAGCAACATCTAGGACTTTTACCACGGTAGCGATTAATGCTCGAGATAGCGAGCTCCGGCTTCGATAACCTCTCGGAAATGGTTTAAGTCGGGTCAGTCTTAAGATCGGCGTTAGCGGTCGACTCAACTGAGTGACATGCTGCGTTTTTATGAAAGCAATGAACTTTGTCTACTGTCTTGGCCAGCTTGTCCCAAGACAAATCATCTGCGAACACAGCCAGAAGAGCTGTGTTCGCTGGAAGACATTTGGTCCAGGGCTGTCGCAGAATTGTGTCATCGATCTTAGAGGAACCGACTAATGTACGCATGTGCCTGAGTTGTGACAGCGTGCGATCACCTAGTTCAACACTAGAAAGTAACTGTCGAAGTCTAGCTTCGTCGGAAGCCGTGGTGCGCTTCAAAACGGCGGCTTTCAGCTTAACTTAAGGTGTGTCGGCCGGAACCGGATCGAGCAAATCTGTAAGGTCGGTTGCGATGTGGGTAGGAAGCTGGGCAGTGATATGTGCGAACATTAATAACTGCGAAGTGATACGAGGTATGCGAAAAGGAGCTTCCAATTGTAAAAACCATACGTGAGGATTAGATAAATCAAAGGCAGGTAATGAGAGATCAACAAAATTTTCTGAATTTTCAGTGCGGGTAACGTGGTCCGACATAGTAAAGACACAAAAATGGAGTTCTGAGCTTTCAAAAAAAAAGAAAACGGGATCACCAAAAGACTACCTCCCGCCCTGGTCGCGGCGGCATCGATCAGATTTTCTCACTCCACCAGATTCTCGAGCTCCGCTATGGGTATCAAAAGCCAACGATTGCTGTGTTCTTGGATATCCAAGCTACCTTCGATTCTCTCGACAGGGCTGCGTTGTGGCACTGTCTGTCGAGAAATGATATTCTTGGGAAGTTCGTTTCCATTCTGTGTGCTCTTTGTAGTCTGAATTCAGGTAGAGTTAGAACTTATGACAAGCTTTCACCTTCCTTTGTTGTCACCAGTGGGGTTCGACAAGGATGCTCTATCTTTCCATTCCTCTTCAACTTTGCCATTGAGGATGTCCTCAAAAATGCTCTGGTCGACTTGTTGGATGCTGGCGTTGGGCGCCTCCCAGGTAGTCGAGTGATTCATCTGGATTACGCTGATGATATCGTTTTGTTGGATGACGGTCCGCTGGCCGTCCAACTTGCACTTAACCGCCTGGTGATTGTAGCGTCGAAGTATAGCATGCACTTTTCATCATCCAAGTGCAAAGCGCTTTTTCAAGACAGGTATACCCCCCTACCCACACTTTTCACCAGTGGGGAAACGTTGGGAATGGTACAGAGTTTTGTCTACCTGGGAAGTTGCATAACTGCTGTTGGGGCTGTTGGAAACGAGATTTCGATGCGTATCTCAAAAGCTCGTCTCGCCTTCTCCAGACTGAAGCATTTGTGTCGCTGCTATGACATCCGTCTCTCCATCAAATGACGGGTTTATAGTGCCATTGTCCGCGCTGTACTTTGTACGGTTGCGAGACTTGGTCTGCCCCGTACCGATGACCCCACGTCGACTGTCTTCGAGAACCGTTGCTTGCGGTCCATCGCCCGTGTGTGGTGGCTGAACCACGTAACCAACGCTGAAGTCAGAGAGCGTGTCTTGGATGGAGACAGCCACTCCCTCGTGGCGCTTGTCTCGCTACACTAACTGCGATGGCTCGGACACGTACTACGTATGCCCGTTCATCGTCTTCCGCGTCGTGCCTTGTTCGCGGTCGCTGGACAGGGTTGTAGGTGACAGTGTGGTAGACAGCCTACAACTTAGAAAAGCAGGATGAAAAAGCTGACAAAACAGCTGGCCACGGTCGGTTCCTGCTGACTCCCTGGATGAGGTCCCAAGGATGCTGAGTGCCGTTGGTTGGAAACGTTGGAAGTCATGGCTGTAAACCGACCTCAATGACGGACGTGTATCTCTGCTTGTTGAGGTGATTCCCCTTCCCTCCGTCATTAAAAAACATCAACAACTACTCAAAAGCTGTGAGTGGAAAAATCGACAAAACTTATTTGTTTCCTTTCTTCTTTTACTTTATCCCTGTTTTCCTATTCCGCAATGGTCCCTATGGCAAGACAGTCGTTTGTCAACTTCAGACGTGGGTATTGGATGATGTGCCTATTGCCCTTATATATATATATATATATATATATATATATATATATATATATATATATATATATATATATATATACGGGCAATAGGCACATCATCCAATACCCACGTCTGAAGTTGACAAACGACTGTCCACTGACTTTGGTGGCCCCTTTTAGCACCAGAAAGTACAGTGTTATCAAAACGAGATAGCCTGAAACCGCTTACGTCCTGTTAGATTTTCTCCACCTCATTTACATATTGTGTCGCCTACTCCGAGTGCTGTTTCTCTATCCTCGGTTCTTTCCGCTATTTCGATTTTTATTATACCTTCTGTGAGTCATTTATTGTGCGCTCTCGAATATATAGTGCTTCTTATGGACTGATTCTCTTACACCGGACAGATAACAAAACGAACACATTAGTTGCTCCTCAACAAGTCGCTACCCCGATCGCCGGTGGACTACTCCTAAGGGGCTCAAGTCAACGCACGCTCATCGACTTAGACCATGACTACACTCTACCTCTACATGTGGAATCTCCCGGTACTGACTGGACCAAGTCTGGCATGTTAGAGCGCATCGCGAACCGATTCACTACTGGGCAGTGGGACCCCACAGAAGATGCACAGACTCTCCTACAATCCGACGCAAAGGCACGTGCTTTATTGAGCTCGGAAGATGCTACGAAGCACGCCGTTGCTTCTACTGCTCGAGTACAGCACAAACCAGATGCTCAGGGCATATCTGCGGACGCAAGTGAAGAATCTGGTGCTGAACACGCTAGCGACGGTGACTCGAATATCGATCCAGATGACGATGATGGCGACGTCTTCCACGATTCGGGCAACGAAACGGATTCCAGCGTTGATGGGGCCGTTGTTGGCAATGACAAAAATGAAGAGGACGATCCAAATGCCGAATTTGAGAAGGTAGTTAACACTTCTTATTGTCAGACCACCTTGACTAAATGTGTTGCACACTTCCATAACTTTACTATCGTTGTCACCAGTTTAACCCTCCTGTATCGTGTCTCCTTGTACTTATTAACCTGCCATCTACATGCTCATCGCCATCATTATATACAACACTTTGGCTAGATGTGAAAGGCACTCCGCTCTTGTGATGCAACCTGCATGATCAAAAACTAACTTCGGTCGTTTTAATGCATACACATTGCACAGTGTGCTACACATTACGGTGTACTGTCTCGTTTCTCTTGGTCACGAAATAGCAGCCATCGAAAGCGTGAACAAAATCTGTCCGTTATTTTTGACCGATGCGTTCGATTGATTACACACTTGATCTCTGATCATTAAGCTGCAGGGTAACAGTTGGTTTTCTGAGTTTTTTCTGACTTGGTTTTCTTCTGTTATTATGGAAAACAAGCAATAATCGACATCCCCATAGCAACTGGCGTACTTCTGAGGATATTACTGGATCGTGAGGTGTGCTTATACTAATGCATTCACTCCCACTGTTTGCACCCGCCTGTTGAAGCCGCACAATGTATACATTTAGCACACACTCGAAGTCAAACCAAGCTGTCGCAAAATGTCTCTCCATGCGACGCAATAGCTGTGTTTCCCACCTCCAGATAAATTGTATAGTGATGAGTCCGATAGCCGCTGCCAACTAACTATATTTTGCTTGTGATACTCATCCCTTTTCCTGAGAACACTCCGATTGCCCATTTGATGTATTCCTAGACAGTTACTTGGTTTTCGACCGGTGAACCAATTTTACAAGACTCTCAGGGTACAGATACTATTTTCGCTGCCCACATTGGCTTCTGCTTATTTTCACATCTCTCGACCGGAATCCAGTCGAAGGATTTTGTTGGTTAAGTGAGCATGGCCTCGGTTAATGTACATTTCGAAATGCATCACTGAATTGTACGCTTAGGCACACATCGTGCGTAGCTAGTCACCATCGTTGTATCTGTGCGCCTAAGGGAACTTGCAATATTGGTTTGTTCAACAATGTCACCCCTACACTATCTGCTAACGGACAATTGATTGTTCTCCAAATGTTGGACATTATTGACTCAGTTGTCTTCGATTACCTAATGGATAGTGCCACTCGCACTTCCATACAATCACGTGGGTTCAATCGAGTGCACAGTATATTCTGCCTAACTTATCCTCTTCGTCCCTACTCTCTTAGTTATAACAATTTGCCTTATCTGATCCGTCCTTAATTTAGGTTGCCTATTTCCAATTTTCACACTTATTTTTTTCCATTGAAGCGTCTGCTCCGACCTACAAAGCGACAGAAGCTGTTGGAGAAGCGACAGAAACATAAAGCCTTATTCAACAAGTTGTACGAAGCTGCTGGCGGCGGCTCAGACTCAACGGTTTTCTACGACAAACTAGTGGCAGCCAAGGAAGCTCAATTGGCTGCAAACCGAGCTGTACTACAAACCTTGCCGCCAGAGGCAGTTGAGCAACTGGAAGGCTTCCCTCCTGGTGCGTATGTGCGCCTGGAATTCAAAGGTCAGTGCAACTACTCTTCTGCGCAATTTTTCCTAATTTGGTCCTGGGATTTGGAAACTCATGTCCACTTTTAAGCTTGCTCCATCATCACCCATTCGAGCAGAGTGACGTTTGGCAGTCCGGTTTCCTCAATTGATGTACTGTGTCAATTTATCAGCTTATTCGGAAAGTACTTTTGATTTTTCGTTTTCTTTATTTTTCACACTCGACTTCCCACCTAAGCCGCATAATCCCTATATATTTGGACAGGTGATATAGCCAGGCTTGCTTTTGAAAATGTTCGGTTGAATCTACGTAGTAGTTTTTGGCTGGGGCCCTTACAAATATGAGAAGTGAAAAGCAGCATTTTCGGCATATTTTACTTTTTTTACTATCGAATAGGTAACAGTTTTGTTCAAGCAAGCAAATGGTTATCAGATGTGTGTGAAGATGTATTGACAGAACGTCAGTGCCAAAACTGGTTTGCGAAATTTCGATCAGGCAGTCTTGCTGTTGAAGTTGCACCACGTTCTGGGAAGCCAGTTGAAGTTGAAGATACAATAAAGGCATTACTTGATGCAAACCGTCGAATAACAACTCGTGAGATCGCTGAGAGATTAAATTTATCGAACACCGTTCATGATCATTTAAAACGTCTGCATATGGGTTTCTCGTGTTCTTACAGAAAGTAACTTGGACCGTCGCGTTGACTTCTGTGATTTGCTTCTCAAACGTCAAGAACTTGATCCATTTTTGAAGCTCATCATCACTGGGGACGAGAAATGGGTTTTCTACAATCTTAAACGCAATATCATGGCGTATAAAAAGATGAACCGGCTCAAAGCACTTCCAAAGCTGATGTTTTTCTCAAAATGTTGATCCTCTCTGTTTGGAGCTTCCATCGGATAACACATTTCTGAAGTGTACTGTCATCAGCTGGACAACTTGGATGATTCACTCGAACAGAAAAGGCCAGAATTAATCAATAGACAAGGTGTAGTGTTCCACCAAGATAATGCGAGACCTCATACAAGTTTAGTAACTCATCAAAAGCTTTTACAGCTTGGATGGGACATACTGCCACACCCACCATATTCTCCAGCTCTGGCACCTGATTATTCTTTGTTCCCGTCTCTACAAAATGTTTTAAACGGTACAACCTTTACTTTAAATGAATAGGTCGAAAATCACCTGGATCAGTTTTTTTGCCAACAAAGAACAAAAATTTTATGAGCGCGGAATTATGTTAATGCTAGAAAGATAGCAAAAGTTATTGGACCAGAATAGACAAATTCAAAATATGTATTCACTATATGAAGATCGTCTTCTATTTTCATGAACAAACGGCATTACTTTTCGAACAACCAGACATATGCCTAGATCACCCATTATTAGCCCTTGCATGCACTCATAATTAGTCGCTCACTTCATAAAGAGGGACAAAATGATCCCATTTGACCGTATTTGTTGATGTGTAGTGTTATCACTCTCCATGGACCACGGCTACACTTCTGGTACTTTTATGCCGTGTTTCCCAATTGGAGCGCACGCTCTCATACAAGAATCATGGTGCTCACGTAACCTCTGTCGTCTCGCAAACAGACCGCTTCTATTTCAACCAACCACTACTCACATCTTTTGTGCTAATTAACTCACTTGATTTTCCTAAGATCTCTCGCTTATCTCCCTTTGTTCCCGTCAAAAATGACGGTGATGCCTATGGTCACAAAATTGGCAGTACACGTAACTACCCTATATCATACTCCACTTTTATTTCAAGTTCACTATTTACCCTGTCCGGTGGCTAGGTTTGATCGGGATTTTGCGTTGTTCTCCGCGCTAAATGAGTAGTTTCCAGACGTTTCATTGCCAGATTAGGCAGCATCATGGGTCTGGCTTTAAGGACCTGTCTCGCAGAGCCTCGTAAACGGCTTGGAGATACAAATGCATCATCAGTACGCCGGTACGCAGCACCGACACTTCGCTGCTGCGCGACTACCATCAGCCGCCCGTGGGTTAAGATGCTGCTAGGGTCTCCAGATTCCTACGCAGACTCGAACCCGCGCCTTCCAATTACAAGGCACTCTTGTGATCCTTCACGCTATGGACCGGCAAGATACAAATGCCTGTTGATCGAACACTGCTTTGAATGCCAGGCTTCGATGAACGCATGCGCTTACCGGCTTTTCGCCCTTCCGAGGATTGCAGCGCGCTCCAGGTCCACTTGGTGGTTTTGGCATCGATATATACAAACATCAGTGAGTGCTGATCGTAACGAAGAATGCCAGCGATGTGTTCATGTATAAGTTGTGAGATTTGGACCCCTGTTTGGCAACCGACCAAACGAAAAGCGTATGAACTAGACACTCATCACCGGCCTCCATTGGATGCGAGTCCCTGAATTCACTCCGCTGCGTTGCGAGTAGGCTATTTTACCAAGCGCTGGGGTGGAGTCCACTAAGTTAGGTCCCTACTTCGGCTTGTGTAATCGGGTTGTATCACTCCCTTTGACAAAAAACCATGAACTGTTCTACACCGGGCTCATCTGCTACCGTTTCTGCTTCTTATACTCACGCGACTTCGTCACATGCCAATTGTTTATTCGTTAAGAATCAATGTTGTCCGTTATCTGACCCATGTTCATGAATCTGTCTACAATTTCGGTTACACCGCGAATCATGATATCCGACCTGTAGCCCTCCTTCGACTCCGATCCTCGTTCTATATGGCCTGTGGACGTACGGACACTCACGCAGATTGGACAGCAAACCGGTCTAGTGCGTACCCTGGAGTGCCTCGATGTTGACTTCCCGAAACCGGATTGCAGAACCCCAGCACTGTGCTTACGCTGACATCCCCACTGACCACGAAGTCATATATCACCTGCGTCTTCCTGGAGACACAAATGCAGCCTCATCGGATTTGGCTGCTGTATGTATAGCACTAAGTGGCAAGGCCGAGGCTCCTGGACTGGTTTCCGATTAACTGTCGACTCTGTGCAGTTGGGCTTCGGGGTTCATTAAAATCAACGGGCGTCTTGAGGAGAGACGTAACTTGCTTGTGATATCCGCTTCGACTGACTGTACTGGTGGCTCGGCCAAGGACGACTTTTATCGGGAGTTTCATCAGCACTTGAGTAACACTAACGAATCTGATGTCGTTGTCCTCGTTGTAGGTTTCAATGCACGGCTTAGCCTCTGTTGCTATACGAACGCCATCTTGTTGGTCACCACGCGCTTGATGAGGACTGCTCAGATAACGGTGAGGGACGTCTCACATTGTGCGAAGACAACCACATATTTCCCTCGAGTACGAACTTCAGGTATATAAAAATGTTTCGCAATTTGCTGTCCCCCTTCGCCAACACAATTGTGGCCTCCAATTGATTTCCCTACAATCAGCTTCAGATGGCGTCGCAGCGTATGAGACTTCAGGTCTTTTTGGTCCACTTTCATTGACTCCGATCATGCGCTGTTTTGTGCGAAAATGCGTATGTGTTATGTGGGTCCCTAAAAATGAAGCATCACAAGTTTGATACGAATAGCTTAACTGATTCCTCGATCCAGGCGAGCTATCAGTCTTCATTGATAGACTCACTCAGTTGCAATCTACCGGAAGACATTGCACAACACTGGACCTGTAACAAATGACAATGATTACTTCCGAACAATCAAGCTGCGACCCAGCACAACCCCTCTGCTCGCTCTCTAGCGCTGTTCGACCGCCGGAGATCTCCCAGCGGAATCAAATTACAATGAGCGGTGCCGCCCTTCTAAACAGCAGCTCAAACAAAGCCTGCGCAAGGATCGTGAAGCTTGGTGGTCTTTGCGTGCTTTGGAAATGGAGACCGCTGCTCTCTGGCAACACTCACAGACTCTTCCAGCTAATTCGCTCCACTGGCCTCAGGAAGCCTGGTGTCAGTGAGGACATTTGCAAGGCTGGTGGATGTTCGATCACCAACCACCAGAGGCGTTTGTACCGCTTGTCCGAGCACTTTTATTTGCAATTCAACTGGTCTCCACCGTCCGTCCGTGCACGCAGTACATTTTTTGTCTACCTTGGCTCGTCCCACTGAATCCACTCAGTGAAGCAGAAGTGTCTCGAGATTCGACTCTTTCGGCGATTCAAGGCTGCCGGCACAGACGGAATTCCTCCGATGCTTTTCAGATACGGCGGCGTGGCAATCATGAACCAGCTGTCTTCGTTATTCGTAAACATCTGGCACGAAGAAAAACTGTCTTCCTCTTGAGGCGAATCAGTTATTGTCCCAATTTTCAAAACAGGAACATGCACTTCATGTGTAAATCATCGAGGGATTAGTCTCATTTCGGTTGCCTCCAAGCTATTAGAATTCATTCTGCTTGGTAGACTATTTCCAATACGTAAATCACACTACCGCGAAGGTCAATCTGGTTTCCGTACCGGCCTTGAATGCGTGGATTAAATCTTCACACCCCGCCAACTGGTCGAAAGTCATTAAATTTAACACAGGCCCACTATCGTCTCAATCCTAGACATATGGGCTGCATTTGACTCGGTTGATCGATCTGCTTTATGACGTTGCTTGCTAAGGAACGAGGTGCCCGAGATGTATACAGTCATCTTACGTGCACTTCACCTCCCTTATCTCTGGCAGGATGAGGGTCTATGACAACCTTTCCTTGCCCTATCAATAACGGTGTGCGACAGGGCTGCCTTATGTCCCCAAACGTCTTCAGCTTTGCAGTCGAAGACGTCTTCTCTAGAGCTCTAGAAGGCTTCCAAAATTTTAGCCTAGAGCTTCTACCGAGTGGGCGATCGATCAACTTAGAATGCTCATAGAAAGTAGAAATCACGATTAAAATTCACACACAATAGTGTGCCTCGACGGGGAATCGAACCCCGGTCCAACGAATTTCCGGTCCGCTACTCTACCACTGAGCTACAGAGGGCTGACGATTGGGTGCGCAATTTTTAACACATGACTTCTGCTTGGTGCGCGACGTATTGCCAATGAGCTCACAGTATCTGTCCTGGTGTTG